ACTTCAGCCTTCGCTCCAGCATCCCCTTAAATCACATATAATATCATAAAATGAAAATGAAAGTGAGCTTGGCTGCCCAAATTTTGAGTCAGAGTGTTGCTGATACTTTACAGTTTTGTATGAACGATTTAAAATTATCAGATTTTCAAAGTTGTGAAGCAACGATTCGATTCATTCGATCTATAAATATTTTATTCGATTTTCTGAATTCGTGTAATCCTTACAGTCAAGACTATAAAGCTCCTTTAACGCGAGAGAATGAACATGTATGGCGGCCACGAATAAAATGATTTTTAATTTATATTTAGATATTGAAAAATAAAGATGGAATGTCATTATTTCAAACGCGACGTAAGATGGGCTATTTAGGATTTTATTCAGTTGCTCAAGCAGTTATTAAAGTTTTTGATGATTATGTTAAACCTGATAATTCACAGCTTGTATGTTTATTGACGTATAAATTGAGCCAGAATTATTTAGAATTATGGTTTGGCTCTATTAGAATTCGTGGAGGATGGTGTCCAAATCCAATACCTGCACAATTTTTATCTGCTTATAAAAGACTGTTGGTTCATCATGAAATTGTAGTAATGGTAACGTAGAAATGCAAGATAATACATCAATTCTTACAGTAAGTTCAAACACTCAGCGAAATTAGATAAATATGATCCCATAGTTTATGATAGCAAATTTACGTGTTAGTAAAAAATATCGATTAGATGATGAATCATGTGATCAGTCTTTTACTAATGTAATAACATCTTCAGATATGTTACCTAGTAGATAAGTGATTTTTCATACAATGCTGTTGCTTATATATGCGGTTTTGTAATTCGTAAAATATGGATTCATATCAAATGCGAATCTTGCAGAAAACTCTTGATTAATATAAATGTTGCTAACGACATAAACAATAATTTAAATATATTTATAGATGATATCACAAATCTCTCTTATCAAAATGTTTGCGATTAATTCTTCAAAAAAGTCGCATTAATTTTATATCCAGTGAAGGCATTTATAAAATAACATAATTAACACAATTAACAGAACAATTATTTAGATGTGCAATCGATTGCAATGAAGGTCGTTTACCAATTGAACCTCAATTTTGTGCAATGCTCTGCTCAAAAATATTGAGAAAACTCTTGTTGAATTCAAGAACGACTTGCAATATATTTCCGAATTTAAACAGTCAAATTCATGATAAAATATTCCGTAGAAGAACATTTTAATCATACAGACACATTAATCAAATCTATTATTATGAAATATATTGAAGTCCGCATGTTTTCAATCAAAAATCTGCAGTCTTCAAACTGGTATTAATTTGAGACACAAATCGTCAACTGATATGGAGGCATCAGTGAATGCATTTTTTTTCTTTTTCTTTCCATACATTATATTAATATACACTGTGGCTTTCCTTTTAGAAAACACAGTCGACAATTAGTGTCATTTTCATGATATAGTCGTTTTATTTTCATATTTATTGAATGCTGTGCGGGAATGCACCGCGCGGAAAGATTCGAGTGAGAGAACGGCACACGGTTAATATGATACACGACAGTAAAGAGAACTCCGTTTCTTTGTAATTTAACAAAAGAATTTTCTTTAATATGCACAGTTACAAATTCAGAAAATATAATTAATTAAATATTAGATTAACAGAATATTAAATGCGGTCACCTTTTCCAAATTGTATTTGGAATCGCGATGATGGAAAATCTCGGCGATTTTCTCGGCTCTTCTTGAAAAAATCCGTTTTATAGTTTTCACTAAGCGGTTAGCACGGCGGTTTTACGAAGCGATATAGTAGCGAGACTATGACTCTAAGAACTCTAAGAAGTCTAAGAAGGCTAAGAAGGAGGAACGGCGAGATCGAAGCATTTATTGCTTTCGGCCTGGGCTTTCTTCTTGGGAGAAATCCAATAAAATTTTGCCACAATCGTAATTATTACGTGGCATTGGTTGTACAAAATTGATTGGCGCTTTGAATTCTTTTCTGACGACGTTCAACGTAACAGTCATGCGCGACAAAAAATCCGTACGTGGGATTGGTGACAGCGCGTGACGTATTCGTCGGAGCGCGGCGCTCGCGTGCGCGAATTGAATTGTTCTAGAACTTTCGATTGTTCATTGCCTGTTTGCGTGTACCGAATTGTTTTCAAAAAAAGACTAAAGAACGACGAATCCCTGACTTTGACGAGGCTTAAGGTCAGGCTCGAGATGAAATCACGAGCTCGCTTGCGTGCGTTCAATAACAATTACTGTCGGTCGATCGAAAGAGTTCTTACTTTTTTTTTTTCTCGAATTACCGATCTCAAACAAATGCCAAAGAGCATATTAAAGAGAACGTTTGCGTGTATATGCTATATGCAGTTGCTATGTTTTACATTATTCTATTTTTTTATGCATGACATAATATAAGCATGAATTCTGTAATATTGGACATGTATATGTAATAATTTTATTTACTTTTATATTGTTATATATTAAAAATATTCCACAATGCAAGTGCCTCAAGAGCTTTTTCTTTTATATGATTCTATCTCTTAATTATATAATTACTTATAATGATTGATATTTTATATAATTACTTGTAATATTTTAATATTTTATATAATTACTTATAATGAATATTATTTTCAGATAATAATTGAACCAAAACAATCATGGACGTTATTTTTTAAAATATGCATCTTGTAAAAATAACTTAAGTAGAACAAAAATAAAGTTTAAATATCGAGGAGTGTTTAAATAATATCAATTAGGTGTTACATTGACTGAATTATGATGAAAAAATGATATAAATTCGATCAATAATCAGTCAATATGATATTGTGACTTGTTCTACTTAGAAATAATTAAAATAAAATTAGATATTACAAATAAATACAACGAATTATTAAAATAATTTCTCAATATGTTTCTAAGAAAAAAAAAGAAAAATATGTATTTTATTTACATATTTTAAAAAAATATACATATTTTAATAAAAGTCTCTCTCAAGAATTATAGCTAAACCGATCGCTGAAGTTTATGTAAATCAGGTAATTTCTAGATTAATTTTATACATATATATATAATATTATTGTGAAATAATTCCATAATCATAATTAATTTTCTTTAAAACATTCCTGTTTTCAATTAGGAATTAAATTATTGTAATAATAGATATTAGCAGTCTAGTACAATATATGTACATAATATGTGGCCCATATTCAGATGCCCTTCTTCAATGCGCATACGTCGGAATTTTCTCACTTAACATGATTTGTTCGACAATAACCGTCGATAAGTTTGACGCTAAAATTCGCTAAATAATAATACCTTTTTATATTTTAATGCGGTTTTTACTATTTTAATCAATCTTTTAAAGAAAATTTCGATGTATCTAAAGAACTTTATCGTGCCACAACTAAAAATATTAATAATAACAAAGAATAAAAGATTAACATGCAATAATTTTATTAACCAAGTATATATAATAAGTTATTTTCCTGAATTATGACCACATGCTCAAACCAATGTATAAATCAGTTTATAGGCCTCTACGAGAGTTCTCAACAACTCTCATAGGGTTCATAAATTAATATTAAGGAAAATAGTAGTACAAAGAGATTAATGAAACGAAAAAAAATTAAGTAATCAAAAAGAAAAAATTAATGGGGTAATATAATGATAAAAAAAATGACGAGACGTCCCACGAGACAATTTTTTTGACGTGATGCTCTAATGCATTTTCGACGCGATGGAATTTTATATAATTTTGGTGCGATACAATTTTATACACATCAGTTAAAAAGCAATATTTATGCTCTTTTTGGTGTATTGCACTTTAATATATTTTTGGTGAAATAAAATTTTATGCATTTTTGATGCGAAAGCATTTTTATGCATTTCATTGCAATGAAATTTTTATGTAATTTTGATGTGATGCACTTTAATGCTTTTTTGACTCGGGATTTTATGCACTTTTGATGCGATGCATTTTTATACATTTTTGTTGCTATTCAATTTTTATGCAATTTTGGTACGATGCACTTTAATACATTTTTGGAGCGATAAAATTGTATAAACTTTTGATGTGATGCATTTTTATGCAATTTAGGCGTAATGATCAAATGCATAATTATCGTGATTCAATTTTATACACTTTTAGTGATATTCAATTTTATACACTTTTGTTGCAGTGCACTTAAATGCATTTTTGACTGCGTTCCGTAATTTACTGCCAGTACCGGCAGTACTGTAAAGCCTATTCCAAAATTCGTCATAATAAGCTACGGTAGCACTACGATGGAATAATGACATCATCGATTTTATCATCACTTCCTACTGCGATTACTGCGGCTGGAAAGATACAATAATTATAGTATAAAATGGCGGAAGATAATATAACCATGTTGGACGCTGAAAACTATAATACGAATTAATACAAATTAAGCCAAGAAAATGCTCAAAAAATATTATAAGGTAAAAATGGAATTTTACACTTATCTATTCGTAGGCTGCTGGAAAAGTTTCTGCAAACAATATAAAAAAAAACATGTAAAATTCGTAAATGGCTTTATTGTTTTTCGAAGTATTCGCCTTTAAGACCGATACATTTTTGCATACGCTCGAACTAATTTTCGAAGCATTTTTTTCATTCTGAGGCTGTAACCTCAGAAATCAGTGTTGAATCATGAAATGTTTCAACAGCTGCTACAGGCGACTCAAATCGCTTACCACGCATCTTCTTTTTAATATTTAGAAACAAAAAGAAGTCATTAAGTGATTAGGTGAATACGGACAATGAGTCATCATTTCGATATTTTTACTATAAAAATTAACGGTTTGATGTACTGTGTGACAACTGGCGTTGTCATGATGAAGGATGATGCGACGATTTCGGTTTGTTCTATTCGCAATTTATTTATGACTTCTGGCAAACAAATTGTTGTATACCAATCAGTATTTACAGTCCTTCGATCCTCTAAAACCACGGTTGCCATATGTCCGGTATAACTGAAGAAACAAGCAATCATTTGCTTGGCAGCATTGCGTGAACGAACAACTTTTGTTAGTTTCGGTTCATTTTGAAATACCCAAACAGTGGATTGTTGTTTACTTTCGGACTCATACGAATAGATCCATGTTTCATCTCCAGTAACGATGTTGTAGACCAAATTTGACCGACCTCCGTTGAATTTCTTGAGCATTTCTTTGCTCCATAACACGAGCCTGTTTTTGAGCTTCGGTCAAATTGTGTGGGATCCAACGACTGCAAAGTTTCTGTACGCTCAAGTGATCATGCAAAAATCGTATGTATTGCTTTCATGTCAATGTCTAAGGATGCCTGAATCTCGCGGTATATGCCGGTCTCGCTCAATTCACGCACAGCATCAACATTAGTGGCAACAACAGACGTGGATGGACGACCTTCACGGAATTTGTCACAAAGAAAGGTACGTCCACGTTGGAATTCGGCAAACCAATTATAAACAGTCCTATTGGATTGTGCTTCATCCCTAAAAGCCAAATGAAGTCGATCGATGCATTGTTTCGGAGTTAGATTACATAATGTAATCGTAAAAAATCATTGCCCGAAAATTTTCACGCGAAATTTTCATTTTCTCACAAAATAACTTCTTTTAAAATACTATGCAAACAAAACTAGTTGACTTGGGTACAAACTGTCAACTAAATTATAAATTAAAAACGTCTAATTTTATATGATATCGTAGTAGCAGAACGTTGGCGTCACTGGAAGTATTTAAGATTGCAGAAATTTTTCCAGCAGCCTACGTATGTTATAAAATACAAGGTGAGGTGAAATAAATATAAAAACAATAGTAAGTATAGAACACGATCGAGGTTTGATGTTTATCCCTAATAATATTTTCAATACATTTTTAATAGATTTTGAATTTTAAATATATTTTTCATTTCTATAAATTGCATGTCAATTAATATCGAACTTTTTATACAATTTTGAACTAAAGCTGGAACAGTATTATAATTCTAAGGCTCAGCCTCAGCTGTTAGCATTTTCTACATATTGTTGTGTTGTCATATTGAAGTGTAATTGAACTTAACATTTAAAAAAATAATGTTTGTAGATATGGAATTTGCTCAATTATTGCTTATGTAAGCACAAAAACGTATGCTACAAAAAGCTATAGGATCGTAAGTGACAATAAATATCTTTCTGTAGCTATATATATAATAATCAAATTGTTTAAAAATATATCTTATGCCACAGATTTTACCGAAATCGTAGAAAGAACAGAAGAAGGCAATGAAGATGTTACAAATAATCTAGGCTGTACAATCAAATGAGAATCGTAAGTAAATATTAGACAGACATTTTGTAAATATGTATATGTAAATATTAACTGTAACTGTAACTATAATTAATAGAAAGCAGCAATGAGAATGATAGTTCAAAGTCATAATGGAATCGTGTCGAAACATTGTTATTAATTGCAAGCTACAAAGAAATAGAAAAAGATTTTATATCAGGAAAGATAATACAAAAAACAATATTGGATTAAAGTAGCATAAATGATGCAGAAAAACAATATTGTAGAAAAACAATGTGAGCGCACAAAAATGTTGTACGAGATATCAAACATTAAAACGAATATATAAAGCAATACATGATCATAACCGTAAGTCTGCAATGCAAGAAAAACATGGGAATATTATAATATAAACATTTTTATCTAATAGACATGTCATGCACAGTTATAACTATTATTTTCAGACGAATGTATTTTTTAATTTTTACTGCTTTTGCAATAAATCCTTTTTTACAGGTTATGGATGAAATGTGCAAAACTAAACCTTGGATCGAATTAGCCATGAACCATTAGCTGAAGCTGGCTCAAATGTGGAAATAAAAAAATCAAAAGCTGACAAAGAAAATGAAACAAAAAAAAGTATATAAATTTTAATATTAATTATTCCTTATATAATTTTTATTAATTACTTTTTATATAATTTTTATATAAAAATCCAGCTTGATTGTTTAGAACTTTTATTTCCTAATCGTGTATTCATTACCTAAAACAACTTTGTTTAATATTGATTTATGTAACAGTACTTCTCTATATTGTTTATTTTTATATATTATAGTTTTTTTAAAAAGAAGGATTAATCAAATTTTTAAAGAATATGCTGATAAATGTTTCGAGGAAAAAAAGTTTAAACGAAAGGCAACGGAGAAAAGTCACAGAAAAAATGAAGGTTCTACATCGAATGGGAAATTTTTTGAAAAAGATTATTAATAAGATTGATATATTACAATTTAAGAGCAAAGATCTGTTAAATTTTTTAGCGTTAAAAAAGATGTGTTAAATCAAATATATATACTAAACTTTAGTTAAAAGAATTTTTAGAGTTTATAAATGAAAGTCTAAGTGAAAGAAACTTATAGAGATATCCATTTTTTTTTAATGAAAGTTCCTTATTTTTCATCTGTGATATGAAAATGATTTATTTTTAATACATATTATGCTTTCGATTCTGGATTAGTATAACATAGTTTTCCAAGTCTTAGATTCCATAACACAACTTATTGTTAACATAGAATCTGGAAATTATGGGTTTCAATAAGTTTAACTAACCGTAGTGATAAAAACGACAATTGGCATCTGGAGTACATGATAGTTTGGACTAAATCTTTTTATAAAAATCTTAGTGTCAATCTCTTCGAAAATAAAATTGTAATCGAATATTGAATATTTAATCTCATTATTATAACGCAAATAAAATCTATTCGAAACTAATTGTTCTCAGCATGTACAAAAGTTACAACATATATTAATTTTGTAATACTGAAGATGGCCTGATATAAGAGTCAATTCCAAAACGTCTATTTTATTGTTCTTAATTTATTGTAATCTATTGTTATGTCCAAACCCCAGGATTCTTTATCTTTAACGAAAAATAAGGAATTAGGAATGGAGGAAGCTAGGAAAGAACGCAACAGACCACTTTTGTAATTATCGTTACGAAGGCGCGTGCCAAGTCGGAAGCACTTTAATGGATCCCAGATGTAGGTCAACGTCAATACGCGACGCTATTACTCAATCTGTGACAGTGCATCCGTCAGTCTTCTCTTTTTTTCGTCAAGAAATTTAATTACTTTGATCAGAGATAAGGCCAGTATGATCTTTGGGAAGATTAAACGAATTGGAAGACCGCCTTAAATAAATGTTAATCACTGTCCTATTGTTTTACAAAAGCGAATTGATTAGATTTATTGTAGACATTTACGTGTGTGTGTGTGGGGGGGGTGTATGTGTGTGTGCGCGCGCGTGCGTGCGTGCGTGCGCGCGTGTATGTATGTGGTAACAAATAATAATACTAAAACTAAGCTAATATCTAGATTTTCTGACAATTGTGTGTGTGTGTGTGTGTGTGTGTGTGTGTGTGTGTGAGTGCTAAGTGGGATGAGGTGGTGTGGTTACAGGGAGCAAAAACCTTGCAATGTTTTGAAATGATTGGAAAATCTTATCTAAACATCGGTTGTCCTCAGAAGGAACGGAGGAGAAAGAGGGAAGAGGAATTGCGGGGTGTGGAAAGTCTGGGAGGGTAGAAGAGTAAGAAGGGGAAGGAAACTCAAAATCTAATGATGGAAGAGGTGGAGGATCGTTCTCGGTCAAGTCCACCACAGGGATCGCTGAGAGAGAGAGAACTTCTTCCGACTAATTGTCCTTTTACAGGCTTCCTCCAGATCAGAACGGGCCTCTTTGGAGATAAAAGTTCCCCGTTGGATTTTCACGATTATCGGGATCCTTTTTTTTAAGTTCGATTTTAGTTAGATTTTGTTAATGCTCGATTTTAGTTCGCTTCCTTCGATCTGCCCGATGGCGATTGCGCTTTACCATCTATGTTAGAAATTTCTCTTTAATTTAAGAAGTTATGATGAAGCTTGAGGAAGAGTGTTTGCATTAGAAGGATAAGTGAAGAAAAGGAAAGAGAAGAAAAAAACAAATAAATAAATGAGGAAATTTGAACTCGATACGCCTTATCGTTTCCGAATGATAATAGAAACCAAGAAATGAGTGAATTATTCAAAGTAAGTATTACTACTAAGTAATTCAAAGAAAGAGAGAATTTACAAAAGTTTTACTGTATATTTTACTTCATGTAATCGCAAGAAAGGAATATGAAAAGTAATCACTTGAAGTGCTTTACCGCTTCAAGTAATCACGAGAAGCGTTCTACCGCTCCAAGTAAAGGTGAAGTGGTAAGGAGAAGTAACTACTTAAAGCGCTATACCACTTCGAGTAATTGCTATAGAGAGAATTACGAGAAGCATTTTACCGCTTCATGGAATCACGAGAAGCGTTTTACTGCTTCATATAATAGGAAGGAGAAGGAAATGTAATTGCTCAAAGCGCTTTACCGCTTCAAATAATCATGAGAAGCGTTTTACCGCTTCATATAATAGGAAGAATAAAAATGATTTATCTGAAGTGTTCTACCGCTCCAAGTAAAGGTGAAGTGGTAAGAAGAAGTAACTACTTAAAGCGCTGTACCTTCGAGTAATCGCTATAGAGAGAATTACGAGAAGCGTTTTACCGCTTTATGGAATCAGAAGGAATGAGTATATTTTGTTCGAAACGTTCTAATAATACAATTAATCATTTCGAACATATATGAAATGGAAAAGAATGGTTTTATGAGACAGACAGGAAATGGATAGGATTGGAAAAAAAGAAATTTCTGTGATGGTTGTTTTGTATTAGGTGTTGGAATTAATTAGTAGCGTTTTACAAGTGATGGGAAGTACTTTCATTAATGTATTTTTTAATGCTCATGTGAAATAAATAACATTCTTTCATTAAAAAACGCTACGAATTAATTCCAACACCTAATACTAAATGAAAATGTTCCCGATGTATTATGGAAATAGTTACTCATTGTTTTCTTTTTTTTTAGTTGAATAGGAGAACAGTAAAGAATCAGATCGGAAAGACTGGCTGGTAGTGCTAGCCCTCAATGAAATTGGTTTTGAATATTTAGAAAGACCGGCTTAAGCAAAATGTTTATCACAACCGATCGGGAGAACTTCACTATGGTTTCGAAATTACAGCGGAACTAATGATTTTACCGAGTGACAGACCAACTGATTGACTGGCTCAAAAAGGTGTCGTATTTATATTCGCGGGTATGATATGCCTTTCTTTGTTTTTTGGCAGTAAGTTATTGACCTAGCGTTTTCTAGGAATTGGACACTTGGAGGAATCGGATTGGTGGTATTTGTAATTAGTCTTATCTGACTTCGGAAGCGTGCGAGCAACGCCAAATACTGGTAAACAAAGCTTTAATGTAAAAAATGTAAAAAATTTATTGGGCAACGAATTATCTTTTGTTCCCATGACTTGACTAATTCTGAGCTCTATCGGTTTGTCGCTAGAAAAACTGAATTTTAATTATTTTATCAATATTTGCT